GGGAGGGATGCCTTCGTGAAGGACTTTCTAAGGGAAACTGGCTCGTATACACGTTACACATGGGGAAAACCACGGAAACGCCCATGCAGCCAGCCCGTTCGCGGGATTCGAGCCTCGGACCGAACTACCAGTGTTCAGCGACTTTACCGCTCGGCCGCTGGTGGGCCCGCTGATGAACTATGAAAAAGATGCTAAAACGACCACGTCTAAAAGCGGTCATATCATGACATTTCAGCGACGTCGAAAAATTGCCAAGATGCAACGACAAATATTTTGCGTCTTCGTAACGTTGTAAAGACGTCGTAAAAGTTACCACGACCACTTTGCAACCTCTCAGACCAGTTTGCAACGTCGTTACGACGTTTCCGTGCAACTTGGGTATATTATGACAGAAAAAGAAGGCAGATTGAATATAAAGGGGGAGACAAAATTCTCAAAGTAAAGCACATATCATCGTGCGCTCAAGAAGGTAGAGTAGCTAAATTTGTGCCGAAGTTTGAAGGTTCATTCATGGTTAAGAGAGTTCGACAAACGACTCTCTACCTCAGAGGAAAAAGAAATGGCCAACATAGTGTGGTAGTATTGACCAAGGAAAACCCTATTTGGATTGTAAAGATATTTCAATATTTAAAGATTTTTTGCCGGAAAGTGGTAGTGAAGCAAGTACCAGTGGTGCAGAAACTTCAAAAGTTTACTTCGCGGAAAGCAAAAGAATGGCAACTTCAATTGCAGAGCAGCTTCAAAGAAAGCAGATTCAACCAGAGAAAAATGGAAATAAATTCCAAAACAGACATAGAAGTCAATCAGCGAAAAAGGAAACAGTAACATTCCGCGAGAAATCAGAAAAGAGTCTTCCAGGCAGAGATTCAGAAGGTCAAGCTCCAGCTCCAAGGGTCATAGACGTTCCCGCAAGCAGAAGTTTGAACACAAGGGAGCTCCCGTTATTGTGACATTATGACGTCTTCACAACAGGCGAGGAACAGAGGAAATTCGTCTCCCGGAAAAAGTTGAAGAGAAAAAGTTAGCCGGACACTGCGACAAGGTTTCCAAAGGCCAGGAAGATGGGTTCAGAATTCCATTTTCGGCAACGTCAGAGGAAGGTCTGGAAATTCGTTGAGAAAGGGGCTAAAAGAAAGGATTACCTACTAGACTCAGACGATCATCCCTACAGAAGGCTCAGGATTCAGCAGTTGAACAAAAATCTCACTTGAAGTAAAAGACTCAGATTTTGAAAATACAGTTGAAAATTATGAGAGAAATTTTGTAAAAGAATGTTAAAGCAACTATGTAAGGCTTATGTAAAGTATAACTGAGCATTTGAAATTTCTTAGTGTATTGTGTTGTAAATATGTAGTAAGTATTTTAATGATATTATGTTTCAAGTTTGGAAGTTTTATTTTAATGGTAAACGTAAAATGCTTGAAGTTAGTTGCAAAAGGATGAAAGAGAAATGTTTAAAAGTTTAGGTAACTATGAAATGACTTGATTTCGAAAAATATAATATAATATTAATCACTATGAAAGATATTGAGAATAAATACTAATGCACTATTTTCCTTATAGTTGACTGGAAGGACAGCAGCTGTTTCAAGAAATTATATATCGCTGTGCCTTCCAGAAGATTGTACTGTATGATACATTGAAAATTAGTTCAGTTTTTAGCGTTTGGAATGTAAGAGTTGGCTTAGAAACTTAGAATTTAAAATCTCAACAAGGTCATAAAAAACCTTAATTTTGTTTACATGAATTCTGTCAGGAAAGATTGTGAAGCATTTGATTTTAAACTAACCAGTTTTTGTTCGGTTACTTATCTTTTCTATCTTCCTTCATTTCCATTTCCAGCCAGAATAATATTTCAATTTCGCTTATTAGTCAAGGTAATGTAGAAAGATATTATTTAAGCTTGTGTCTGAGATACTTCAGACAAAGCATGTTCTGCCGCTCGGCCACGCTTTACTCTGATTTAAGCAATCTCTGATTTGCAATTTTCCTGCCGTTTGTTTTGATTGCTGGTTTGTGTACGTCGATTGTAGGGCTGAGAGCCAACTCGTCGATTGTAGGGCTGAGAGCCAACAACTTAATTATTTCTCCACAGTTTCGACTGATTATTTAACTTAGTTTTAATTTTATATTTCTGTTTTGAGTTACATCCAAAATTATTGACTAAGTTAGTAACCACTAAAAGTGAGTCAGTAAATTCCCTCTTGAAAAATTGAATAAAATGTCTTTTTATCCTTCTTACGTCTTGTCATTGATATAGTTTGAACTTGTCGAATAATCGCTTCACAATTGAAGTAAAGATCTAGCCAGCAAAGTAAAGTTAATTTAACTAGAATCTTACAGTGGATATGAGCCAGTTTCTCTTAAAAGGTCCGTTATTCTTCTTTCCGGTTTGGAAAGGCATTCCTTCCAAAGCCGGATAACCCTGCACGTGTCGCCATAATCCAAATTAAAAAAAAAGTACAAGTGTTCGGCGGGTTTTGGTTATTCGGCCGCTTAATTGTATTTTAAAATTAAATTTAAGCTGTCTAGTTAAGTGATTAAAATAGCTGCAGTATACGTGAGTGAATTGTAATGTTTTTCGCATCGTAATTTTCAGAAGGATTTGCTTGAACTTACTGTCAGAGACGTACGTATGTGTATATATAAATATTATATATATATACACATATTTATGTTCCTCTCTATATATATGTCACACACACACACACACACACACACACACACATATATATATATATTATATACACATATTTATGTCTCGCTCTTTAGTAAATAAATTATTATTATCTTACTTTGCAGCTATTGCGCAAGTATTAGAAAAACTTGTTTTCGAACTAAGTGAATTTAAGATCATACAACATTTGATATGTCATATATATATATATATATATTAAATTTAATTTACATTATGCTTACATTATATATATATATATATATATATATATATATATATGTATATATGTAAGATAAAATTATATGAATCAGAATTATAATATAACTAAAAACAATATAACTGTAATGTTTTCAGTTATTCCATCACATCGTGGGCGAATGGTGAGGCTATTCCATTACACGTTCTGGCAGATGGTTGACGAAGCTGGGATGATTGAAGTACGGAGAAAAATGACGACTCAGGACTTTTCACTTTTAACAGCAAGCATATCTTTATTTTAACTTTATAGCAGATGACTTTTTCCAGATGAAGTTAATCAAATAACTTATTCAGTAATTGAACTATTAGATACGACTGACTTTAAACTTTAATACGTCATAACGTTCTAACAAAGAAAGAGGAGCATAGCGGAAGCGTTAGCAGGACGAAGGCGAGAAGGCATCTGGCATTAACGGTTACGTAAGATCGCGTGATTAATTTGAATGACGCAATGCAGATAAGTTATTAGGATTTTAGAATAGAGAGGAAGAATTATTGTTTTTAGTTATATTATAATTCTGATTCATATAATTTTATCTTTTTTATCTTACATATATATATATGTAAATTACACACACACACACATATATATATATGTAATTTACATTATATATATATATATATATAATATATATATATTATATATATGTAAATTTCATTTAATCAAAAAGCTATGGTTATTAAAATAAACTACTTCCTATCTTAACAAATCTAAAAGCGCCGTTATAGAAAAGCATAAAATATAATAAATCATTTTTAAAGGAATAATTTTACGTCTTTTGTTACTTATTTCAATTATAAATATTATAGATAGTGTTTTAGTTAAAACGGCAGTTGAAGCAAGGTAAACAGCTTATTGCTTTATAAACACACATTTTTGTTCCGCCAATTGATGCTTTATGAACAAAATACAGCACAATTCTTTCTGTACAGTGGCATTCAAGTACTCCTCTCTACCATACAGAGAAAAGATAATTTTATGATGCGTTACATTTGCATCCCTTCATTTCATCTAATTTGCTATGAAATTAGTGTAGTTATATCTTTGACGAAATCAATTATTATAAACAGGAATGCAGTTTGTTACCTATTTATTCTGTTATGAAAATACTATCACATGTAACAAGTGTTTTTGAAGACGTTCTTTTTATTCTATTTGCTGCGTCTGGCAGGATAATTTATTTACATTTGCAAACTACGATCGTGAATATTTTGTTAAATTAAGTTACTTTTTGGGAAATTCATTACAGCAGCATATACTCCCTGCTGTATATACATTAAAAGGCTTATTTCTATTAAAAATACATTTCTTGTATGTAGTTGATTAAATGAGCAATTAGAGAAAAATGGTCTAAAATTCTTTCGACATTCGAGCTTCTGAAGCCTCTTTTTCTCTCATCTCAATTCCGTGCTCATATCCGTAACTACATTGGTGGCTGAGTTGGCTGCACAATTTGGCGACTATTCTCTTATCGTTGGCGGAATTTCTTTCCCGGGTGAGCATGACTTGAGGAAGGAGCATTTAGTTCGCCGATCCAACCACGTGGGGCTCACCGCCGTGGTTGCGTGGGTCTGTGATCGTGGTGACAATTGCTTTACCGTAGAGATCAGTAGAAAGGAAGTTTACTTAATAATGACTGCATTTGTTGCAATTCTTTCTTATCTTTATGCAGTAAAGATGCCGATGTGAGAAAGCACCTTTTTTACTTAGCCACGACTATGCTTATTTAAGCTTTAAGGTGAGGTTATTTAATAACGTTTTTAATATCATCTTATGAAAGGATTTTGAATTATATTTTGGAAACATATTTTTATCTGACCTCTCGAGGTAAATGATTGTGAACGTAGTCAAGAAGAAAAATTAATATCCATCAAATGACTATTAGAAGCGATTAAAGAGTGAAATCCTTTCTTTTACTCCGATATCTCATTTAGAAAGCTCGATCATTTAATTGCTTCATATTAATCTCGATGGAAATTTAATATCTCATCAGTTTCAAATAATTTTGGTCCTTCAATAGTTTATTTGTTTTATGCTATACCTTTACAGATTGTTTTGGTGAACTCAAACTAATATTCTTTTGTTTCGATGAAAGCATTTTGAATTGAGACTTGATTATAATTTTATCTTCTATCTATAATTCTTGTCTTATCATATATAATTTCACTTCAAATCCTAAACTAAGTAAACACACGGAATCATTTTCAGATTTTCCAACGAAAGAGAATTATTTTTATTTATCACACGAACACTTGTGTTTTTAACATCCTAATTTATAAATTTTTTCCATCGAAAATGAAATTAAATACGACAACAGCTACAATAGTAGAAAGGATTTTACAAAAAAGTAAAGATGCTGTTCCAAGTGTTTCCTCTTGGCATGGTATTGCAGTTGATATTCAAATAACACAAGACAACCTCGATGCTCTTGAGTTACTATCAACGGATACTAACGCTATGAATTTCTCCGCAACTGAAGCTGAAACCTCACCTGAAGCATATCAAACGCTTTTAGCAGTTGTTTTAGCTCTGTTCAGTGGCACAACTGTGTTTGGTAATATGCTCGTGATGGTAGCAATTGCAAAAGAACAGTATCTGCATACGGCCACAAATTATTTCATAGCTTCATTGGCAACAGCAGATTGTCTCGTTGGAGGAGTGGTAATGCCCTTTAGTATTATCCATGAAGTCATGGGCAGGATTTGGATATTTGGAAGAGAATGGTGTGACTTATGGCGATGCTTCGACGTTTTAGCAAGCACAGCTTCTATACTAAATTTGTGTGCTATATCTGTGGATCGCTATTGGGCTATAATCGATCCAATGACATATCCGAGTAAAATGACCACTCCTCGAGCTAAGTTGATTGTCGGCTTAGTATGGATGTGCTCTTCTCTTATATCATTCCCAGCAATAGCTTGGTGGAGAGCAGTGTCAGTACAACCTTATCCTCCTGATCAATGTCTTTTTACCGATGATGTCGGATATTTATTATTTTCATCAGTAATATCCTTTTATGGGCCACTTATTATAATGGTCTTCACTTACTGCCGAATATATAAAGCAGCAATCAATCAGACAAAATGTTTGGAAAATGGTATGAAATACATCGGAACAAGTAATGAAGTATGTGAAGAAATGACTTTAAGAATTCATAGAGGAGGCGTTTCTGAAAAAAATGAATTAAAAAATGGAAACACTGAGAAACATAAGCGGCACAATCATATTGTTTCTGAGAATGATAAACTTTCTGAAGGAGAAGAACGTAAGTCACCAGATAATAGTATACCCCTGCGATTTGCAAGTCGTCATGTCAAAGTTTTTTCAATCAGTAAAAAGCTTGGGAAGCTGACTAAAGAGCGGAAAGCAGCTAAAACACTCGCCATAGTAATGGGCGTATTCATTTTATGCTGGTTACCGTTTTTTATCATTAATGTTTTAGTGGGAATTTGTGGAAAATCATGCATTTCAGAACCTGAGCTAGTATTTTCAATTGTGACCTGGCTTGGGTGGTTGAATTCTGGAATGAATCCCATTATTTACGCTTGCTGGAGTAAGGACTTCAGAAAAGCTTTCCGACAATTATTGTGTTGGGGCTGTAAAAAGGAAAAACAATGTTACAAATTCGAAACTCCTGTGAGAAGGAAGGATATATTATCACGTTCTAAGTCACCAAATGAAGAAGTGTTTCTTTAGATTTTATTACTTAAATGTTTAATTTAATCATTTCATGGTTTTAACTCATATATCAAGATGATTTCAAAACTTGAAATTCGGCAGGTAAGCTTTGAAAATTAATCCAGATATTAAAAATATATCATGCTAATCTTTCCATAATTCCAAAATAATCACACTTGTGCAAAATAAGTGTTCCACTTTGTAACTGAAAATCCGAGATTTTAATATTAATTGTTCAGATGTTCTGTTAATATAAAAGATAGCAGCTAAAATTTAGGTTAAAGCATTCTGCATAAATTTTCGTGCAAATATTAGCTACAAATATCTGTCAACGTTTCATTTGACTACATAATGAAATTTATGCAAAATACAAATATAATAATAAAATTAATAACTTTTACATGTTTCTTTAGTTACTTTTACATCTTTCTTTCTGTTTTCTTCTTTTACATGTTTTTTGCAGCTTAAAAAATTTTAAATTATTGACTTAAATAGTGCATGGAAGTGAATATGGTTTGCTGCAGACTGGCGTTCATTATTAGAGACCAAGGAAAAATCTTGGAATTTATAAATTAAATGCTTCTGGCTCACTCATAATATTTTCCCAGTGCTTGCAATTGTAATTGCATGAGATTTTTTAAATTAGAAGTTTGCTAGAAATTTATTTATATTTATGAAGAAAAGAATGCTTGATAGAATGTTTTGATAAAGTAGTTTACATGTCATTTACCATACAAAATTTCCTCTAGATAATTTTTTTAATATACTTAATTCATAGTTTTTGATGTTTATTAATGTTATATTTTGTATAGCTTATTTAAGTCCCAACTTTTAAAATTTAAATATTTTAAAATAATCTGTTATTGAAATTTATAATTTGTTGTATAGGTAATTCAAGTTTTCAAAGATTAAGCAAAGTACTTGCTTTCATTCGTAACCAAGAGACTTGTAAAAGTTCCAAATTTATATTAATCCATTTAAGACGAGGCTTCTGTAATCCAAATTTATTTGGATTTTCTTATAAACTATATTCTCTTGTCTTGTTCAATGCATTCAATTTCATTTTATAGAGAACTGATAAACATTTTTATATGAACATTTTCATTGCAATTTTTTTTTATTTTTGTCCCATTTGGAATGAATGTGAAAATAATTTGTTAAGGTAAATCTTCAGTGGTCTTCAATGGCTTGAAATGTGATATGCAAGGGAAAAAGAGAAGTTACGTTTGTGGATTTGTATTTATGGTGTTAGAAACTCTTTCAAATGTACAATAGGGGACAAGAAAGTTCCATTAAATTTTGTTGATCTGAAGGACTAGAGTCACTTTTTTGTTTGCTTTAAATTTCAAATTAGGGAGTAAAGAGCATGAAACTAAATTACAGAAAACAGGTAATGAGCGTCTCACAACTTTGCTTCTAATTTGCAAACAGAGGAATTTAAATATCTCCGAATTCAGAACTAGAGCGTACACTGTAAGATTACTTTAAATATTTGTTTTCTGATTTATAAATTTAAACAAATTTAACTAGAAAATTTTACAAATTGCAAAAATTAATTAATTAATTATAAAATTTTGCAACTAGAGTTTCAATTTTTAAAAATATTCTAATCTTACTTTTGGATTTGATCTTCTCTTATGAGCTCAAACTCCATCTTTCTAAGAAAGCCCATCAGCAGCCAAGCGGTATAGTCGCTGATCGATCCGGGATTTGAATCCGGGCGAACGGGCTGGCTGCATGGACGTTTTCGTGGTTTTCGCCATGTGTAACGTATGTACGAACCAGTTTCCCTTAGAAAAATCCTCCACAAAAACACCCCTTCCCTTAGGCAGATAGTCCTCGAGTTCTTTGTCATAAATAAATAAACCAAACCAAACCATTCTTGTAAGCATGCAAGCTATCTTTATGTGATTAATTAAGCTTTAGTAAAAGTACATTTAAATTCTATGAATACAAACAAGTCGGAAGTAATGAAGCTGATCTGCCAAATGTTTCTCAAAATGTTGTGTTTGGTATTGCTACATATAAAAAGTCTCCTTTTCCCCCTTTATTTTAGTAGAAAATCTTGCAACCGACTGTTACATTGACTGAGAGAAAAGCAGGAGAAGAAAAGGAAAATTAGAAAACTTACTTGAATTTAAAATCTAATTTCCCTTTCTTTTAGAATAGCGCCTTCTGCAGGAATGCATGGAATTTAGTACTTGAAAAGTAATTAGAATGTACCCTGGACATCTTTAACTGAAATCTGTTTAATGCATCTGCGATTCGATCTGAATATTCTATGGAGAAATTAATGCCTGATATCAAATTATACTCGTTTCATTCACAATTCCGACTCTTGCACGAAGCAATAGGCATCTAATTGAAGAATTCAAATAATAGAGTAGCTAAGGAAAGTTCAAGCTTAGCGCTACATTTTGCGGCCCGATACTATTGTTGCAGATCTTAAATTCTACCTTCTGGAGCTTCCTTAAATTCTAAACAAAGTTACCGTCTCTAAATTCTGCCGACCTGTTTGGCCGCACCAGTTGCACCGCATCTAGCTCTGACTCTGTGAAAGCTAAGAATGCAGTGAAAAAAAATTGCTAATTATTTCTAGTATGAAGGAGTATATGCAACAATGAGAATTCGTATCTGGGGGAACTGCAATGGAGCTTTTTATTATAAAGTTCTGAATCTGTCTAGAACTTCACAATAAAACTTATGGTCAAGGCCTCCAAGAAACAGAACCACATTTCTTCCCAAAGCTATATCACTATGCCCTTTATTGCCTTATAAAAGCAGCAAGATTTTGCAGAAATTAAATCAGTCTCACCTCATCTCCCTAGTCGTCATATTTGGCACTCTGAGCACTTGTTAGATTAAACTAATAAAATGCACGATGAATGTTCACAATTTTAACTGACTATCAGACATTCAAATGGAATTGTAAACGGGGCTAGCAGTATTCAATAGAAGGATTTATAGGATTCATTCCCCTTGTAGCAATCACCGTAGTGAAACAGATTAAGTGCAAAAGAAGATCCCTTTAAAGGGCATGACGACTCAAAAAGTTAACCAATTTGGGTTGGCCTCATTTGGATTTTCTTTCCTTATTATTCCGGTGAAGCTTATACATTTATTTAATTAATTATAACAAAGAAATCGAGATCTGCCTTAGAGGAGGGATATCTTCTTAGAAGACTTTCGAAAAGCAGAACCGTAGTAATGGTAATGAAACGTATAAAAATTTCCCGTTCTTTTCAGCCAAATGCATTTTAAATTATATGTAGAAGTGAGAAATAAAGAAAACAACTACGATAATAAATGTTATTTACTTACAAAAATATGTACTTCATATACTTTAAGGAAATAGCTTTACCTTCAAAATATTTTCTTGTTAGATTTTTTATACAACTGAAATCTTATCTTCATAAAAGTAATTTTCCTTTGCTGCTTTATATCTTTCCTAAAACTGTTTTGAATAATTCAGAAGAATGCAACAAATATCTTTATTTTTGAATATCTGTTCTTATTAAGTGATGAATTTAAATACGTTTCATTCTCCAGAAGGATTTTTATGTAAAAATGGTGCTTGAAATAACTGCTTCTTAACAACATCTAATTAAATTATTTTTACACGCTTTCGAATCGCAAGAATTCTATATTTTGCTTAATAGTTTGAAAAAAAATTACAATAAATAATTAAAGTGAGCAAAAATCTTATCGGTGTGGCATTTATGTTTAAGTGATACAATTCTTGAATCTAAGTGAATTTAATTTTGTGAATATCTTTTATAGAAAAGTATTAATTAAATATTGTTGATGCTTTCTTTCTTTGTAATACTTTTATGGAAATGACGACGCTAAGCATATTTTCCGGACGATGAAAAATAAGTGCATTTAAAATCTGCTTTAACAATATCTTTACAACTAAAATATTCGATGCATTTCAAGAGAAAAAGTCGTTTAAATAAGTATAAAACATGTTAGAAATAATAATCCCAGAACTCGGATATTCCGTTTTTAATATTAAGTAGAAATATGAGACTAATTAATGATCGTAATGGAAAGTTTGAAATTTCAGTGAGTAAGAAAGATTTTAAACAGATTGTTACCAATAATTAATGAGCTTGCAATTTGTTGATAATATTTATAAAGATTTGAAACATATTTTCTAACACTATTTTTATAATACATCTTTTGAAAAAACAAACTGAGCAAAAAGGGCCTTTTGCTTACAAGTATAATTAATTATGTATAGTTTAAGTAAATTTAAATTTTATAAAAGCATTTCTGTCTGCTATACTAATTGAATTAGAAAAAAAATGAACGTAATTTAAAATTTTAAAAAGTTCTCCTTTATGTAATTATTTGCATGGAGATATTATTAATCACATAAAAAGTCAAAGCTAGAAAGCAAGAATATTTCGATTTAGGATAAAGGTTATATGTACTATAGTTTTGTTGTTAAATGATTATTACTCATCGCGTTTTTCATCAGTTAATAGTAACACATTAAATGCAAAAGATGAAAAATAATTTGGAAGAACAATTTAAGAACGGCATATAGGAATTTCTTGTTCAGCAGATGATTGCTGTCAAATGGATAACAAAGCCTTCGAATTTTTTTTGTTACTAGTAAACTTATCTTGATTCATTTAAGGATGGAACATGATTCGTGATCTATTTCAATCAGAGCGTGATGTGTTTTGCACTTAGATGTATTTCTACATAATGTTTATAAGTATGATAACTGTCCGCATATTACATACGAATATGTTTATTGTTCGATTAATAAATAAGAACAAGATAATGGTTAGCATAATGTTTAAAAATATGATCATTGCTCACGTAATGCATAAGAATTCGATTACTATCGGTATGATGCATAAGAATACAATGATTGTTCCCAAGTGATATATGAATAGCGCTATCATTCGCATAATATATAATAATGTATAAGAAAGTTACTACTATGTATGAGAATATGATTACCAACCGCATAATGTGTATGAATATGATTATTGTGTTCATACTGTTAAATAATATGAAAACTATCGTCATAATGTACATGAATATGATAATTCTTTGCATAATGTAAAAGAGTATGGTTGCTGTTCACATAATATATAAGAATATGTTTGCTGTCCATGTAAATGTATATGATTACTTTCTGCCATAAATGTATAAGAATATGATTATTGTTATCGTAATATGTAAGAATATGCATAGTTTTCGTATAATCTATGATGATATGAATGCTCACTATATAATGTCTATAAATGTAATTCTTGTTCGCATAATATGTATGAACATGTTTACTGTCTGTGTAAGTAGCAAGAATAGGCTTACTGTTCGATTAATGCATAAGAATATGATAAATTTCTGCGTAATGTATATGAATATGATAAATGTCTGTGTAATATGTATGAATATGATAAATTTCTGCATAATGTATATCAATATGATGATTGTCTATGTAATGTACTGACTATGATAATTGCTAGCATAACGTATATGAATAAGATTATTGTTCACGAAATGTATATGGATTAGTTTTTAGATATCGCAAATGAATATGGTTATTGTCCTCATCGAATATAAGAATTTGATTTCTGCCTGAATATTGTATTATGAATATGAATATTGCTTGTATAATATATTGAATCTGATTACTGTTCTCGTAAACATGTAGGAATCAGATTATTAGCGGCGAGGGCATTTCACATTCTCATAATGTACATGAATATGGTTACTGTCCGCATATTATGGTAATTGCTAGCATAACATATATGAATAAGATTATTGTTCACGAAATGTATATCGATGTGATTAGTTTTTAGATATTGTATATGAATATAGTTGTTGTCTTCTTCGAATATAAGAATTTGATTTCTGCCTGAATATTGTATATGAATATGAATATTGCCTGTATAATATATTGAATATGATTACTGTTCTCGTAAACATGTATGAATCAGATTATTAGCGGCGAGGGCGTTTCACATTCTCATAATGTACATGAATATGGTTACTGTCCGCATAATTGTAATATGAATGTTTATTGCCCGCATAATGTGTAAGAATAAGATTACTGCTCACATAATGCATGACAATGTTATGATCATCAGCATAAATGTATAAAATATAACTATTCACAAAATGCATAAAGATATGATGATTATGCGCATAAATTTTATGAATATGATTATTGTCCTCCCCAAAAAAATTATAATGCGATTTATTGTTTCATACTGGACGGAAATATTACTGTCGGAAGAATGAGTTTAGTGTCAGGAAACTTTGATATAATATATATTCGTATTATTAGTTATTGTAAATTTCAATCGTAAACTGATACACGCGCGCATTATATAAATGTAAACTGAGTGTCATCTTTGAAGTCTAAACGGATTAGAAACATTTTTGCTTGTGATCATGGAATGTGTACAACATATGTTTATATGTATGAGCGGCAATATACTTGCTGTGTATGTGTTCTTAGTTAATAGTAATTATGGTTCTCCTGAAAGCTATTTCTATATTGTTATTATATATTTGTCAATTTTGATTTTTATTCATGTCCAATAATTTGGTAAACTGCCCATGCTATTTAACAGTAATATTAAGTGATGTTAATTGTGAAGTGAAAAATTAAGAATCTGCCACTTCCTGTGTTAAATCTAAAGAATGTTATTAAGTGATGTTTATAATATCAGCTTATAACCGGACTAAGAAGGTAAATTGGATTTCACATATGTTAACTTGGTTTAAACCTGTTTTTCCTTTAAAGGCAATTAATGATTATTTTAATTAAAGATTAAAAAATATTGTCAATTTGATGTTTCTAAATCAGTGCATAAAATATTAAATGTCGAATTTTTATGATTAGAACAATTAAAAATATATGACATAGACTGTAGAAGGTCGTTTCTTTCCATGCAACACTATCACTTTCCAACTGCTGATGAAAACTGAGGTATTAATTTATTTCTTGTTGTTTACAGAGTCTGTCAAGACATTAACAATTCTTGCTAGATATAACTCAAGTTCATAAATACGAGGTCACCTGCAGGAAAAAGACTGTTATAACGTATATGTTTTTGCAGTTTATTGTTATATTATATATCTGATTATATATTTCATTTTCAATTTCATGTGTATGTGTGAAGTCAGATCAAAGTAGTTAGTAGTAAATGTATCAATAAGTAATGAATCTCCTTTTCGCTAAAAAAGACTTATTTTATCACAAATGTTTCCCATTATAAATTAATGGAGCATAAAAGATGTAACGAAATTAATTTCTTCCTTTGGTGATGTGCTAGTGCTATGGGCATTATTCATACTTGACAAAATTCTATGTTTATTTCGAAAAATCATTAAACTCCGCAACCTTCTGAGTTAAAGCCAATATAATAAGGAGATAAACAGAAAGTGCAATAGCATAGGGAAAAGAAACATAAATGTTTAATTTACAAAACCGAGAAGCTGGTTTTAAAATTAGAGAAGCAAAGAAAGTGCTATTTTGACGAAAAAAGTAAGGAACGCGCTATAACAAGTAAACAAAAATAAATAAAGTGCAATGACAGTTACAGAGAAGTAAAGATATTGTTATAATAGTTAAATGCTATTTGATCGTATTTGGTAACCTTTCATACCGATAATGTCAAAAGAAAAGCAAAATTACAATAGGGAAATCAGCTTGAGCTATGTTCTAGCAGATTAGGAAAGTCTTTAGGAAATTTAAAATTGCCCTAAACGCAATAATAAGATTAATGTACCTTTAATGTTTAATTTATTAAGTATGTGCTTATCAAAATCTCAGCAAAGTATTATTCTATTAAATACTGACGAAATGAATGTATTATTTCATAATTTGAAAGTACTGTTTTCACTTTTCCAGCAAAAATCAATCTGAAACTCTACTTTGCAGGTCAAATTTTCATTTTAACTTATAAACAAACCTTTTACTCCATCATGCTTGGCCTCTCAGATCCCCAGATCTCAGTCTATGTGATTATTGGTTGTGGGGTTAGTTGAAATCGCAATTCTACCGCTATCGTCCGACATCATTAGGAATGATAAAAGACAACATCTGGCGGCAATTTCTCACCACACTTACAGATATGCTGTACTGTGCTGTTCACAACGTTGTCCTTCGACTACAGGTATTGTTGATGAATGATGGCCGACATGTTGAACGTTTGTTATAAAGAGCATACATGGTCTTTGCTGAAAATTGTTACGCTAATTATTGCTTTTGTTATCATATGAAGCGCGATCTGTTGGCCGTTTTAAGCATTTTCTTTGCTTTCAATAAAACCCTATGGCATTTCAAGCACATATGTCAGTTCTTACCTCTCTACCTATATTATTCAGTGAATTATTGAATTTTCGAATCTTAACGGGCTTTTGGGTCACCCGGTATATATGACAATGCGGTGTCGATGACTTGAGGGATAGAACATAGCTTAGATCCATAAAGTGACATAATAAGGAGAAGAAAAACTTTAGCAGAGCTGGCGGTAATTCATACACAGTTTTATTTCGTAATTAAAGCAGTTTCACTTATCATCATTGTGGGTGCTCTATGTACACTACAGTAGCATAGAGATATACATTGCCGAGAAATAAGGCGAAGCAGAAAAAACGGCGTGCGCAGTAGTAACAGCGGTATTTATGAACGCGATTCCTTTGTTTAAAGTTTGAGGATTGCGACTCGATGAGATCCATCGACAATGCTGGAGGGTAAGATGACATAATGCGGATTAGCTTTCGGATACGACACATATTAGATTACAGAAAGGGGACATTGCCAAAGTAAAATCAGGAATTCTATTGATAAATTAACTTAGTAATTTTGAGTTATATATCTGACACACACACACATATACAAACATCCATACACGCATATATATAGGGAGAGAAGGAAGAAACGTATATAAGTATATAAATAGGTAAAGTGAGTTAATGCAATGAAAAGGTAGTAAACGGCGAAAGGGGAGGGGTTGGGTAAAATAAGATAAATTATTTTCTTTTTAGTTTTCTTTAAATACAATTATTCTTTTATTCTGAACATGCTGCCGCTTTTGATTTTATATCAGTTATTTACTATTTTTACCCTTCTAAAAATTACATATAGTTAGGTTTTCATTTTGTACACTTCATTTGCTATTGTCTTTTATTTTATGAGTTTTATTTTACTTTGGATTTAGTTTTGTGTTTTATTTATGAAACATTACTTGTTGCTTACTGTTTTGACGAATTTTATCTTACTTTCGATTTAGTTTTGTGCTTTATTTATTAAACATTACTTATTACTATTTTTAATTACTTAGCTATTCGGTTTTTCTCTGATGCTTAATGAAGTTACCGTACCTAATATCGAGTACATCGTTTATTTTAACTTATGATTTATTTTATTTATTATTATTGGTAACCAGCAGCTTTAAGGTCAGTCAAGTAAGTGCTTTCTTCTTAAATATAATTAATTCATGTGCACGTAATGCTCCCATATTTCTTTTTAAATATAATTAATTTGGTGTATATGTTACGGTGAAACACCGAAATCTGGAGAATGTCGACTTTCACCGGTGAATGTCAACATTCACATAGTAGCTTGGTGTATGTCCGAAATACTTTCCAAATACTCTTATTTCTGACTTACACCGGTCAATGTCGACATTTACCATGTACTAATGGTGAATGTTGAACATATAAGAATATTATATTTTCTTCTCCGGAATTCAGACGCGAAAAAACGCACTTGAGACTTAAAATAGGAACTTAAGAACGTAAGAACTTAAAACAGGCAGTACATTCAAAATGAGAAAGGAAAATAATAGCAGTTAAAAACTTACCATATTATGTGATTCAAATCTTAAATTATTATGACACTTTGAAACTTAAATTATTATGACAAATTAAATGACAAAAATTAAATTATTATGACACTTTGAAACTTAAATTATTATGACAAATTAAATTATTATGACACTTTGAATTCCACAAGAGGCCTTTGCTTTTACAACTGCATTTATTTGTGGAACACTTGCTTTTGCTATGACAATCGTGTACATATACTCCTCTCTTTTCGACCTACACCAGAGCATATCTGTGATTGTCGACATACACCGGTGAAAGTGCGAATGTACAAGAATGTAATGTAATATTCGATCTTTCACCGACGTATTTGGTGAATGCTGACATTCTCCGGTGAAATTCGACATTCTCCAATTTCGGTCTTTCAAAGTAACATATGTATATCTGTATATTTATATGTCAGTAGACAGAAGTGATTGGTTGAGAATAACTACAATATTTAGTTTACAGTGGAATGTTTTTGCGGCAAGGCAAGTAAATGGCTGTTTTTCATATTGCACTTTACGAGAGAAATTATGAAGGAATTCGAATAATGGACTGTTTTCGCAGGAAAGGAATCATTCTAAAGGACAAAGCGCGTGAAATCATGACTTAGCAAAAATTGCCTCCCTTTCCCTGTTTCTTTTCACAATGAATCAAAGATTGGACAAAAATTGCAAATAAAGGAAAATAAATAATATTCTTTAAATAAATAATATTCCCAGAAGCATCTGTTTTTCCCCAAAATTAAAGCATTAAAATAAATAATTCAGAATCAAATAAAAATTAAGATTTCCTTAAATCAGAAAATCATTCACCTAGTTTTTATAACGCGATCAGACAATTCTCTACACGACAGAAGTACTGAACACCGAGACATAGAAACGCAGAAATACTGATGGCGAAGCACGCAAATAGCATAGAACGTAGATCCACATTGAAAAGGAAACATGGCAGTCGAAGCAAATTAAATTTCATTTTTATTTAAATTGACATTTTTGGCCGCAATTTACTTGGTACTTTAATAGTGCCTATTCAAGAACATTTACATTTTTAATTCTGTTGCGAAAGGAAGAGAGCACAGCGAAATAGCGTCATTGTATGAAGAGAGGCAGAAGCTAAAGTGCGCAGTTATCCAGTATGGAGGCTCAGGAAGAGAAGGTTTTGGTTTATGTAAGTTTAGGTTAGAAAGGTTTCAGTTTTCGAAATTTTGAGTTCAGGCTTCGAATTAGCTATGCCATTAGCGTTACGCAAGCTATGCAAGATGGATTAATGTAAAAATGACGCAGTACAGAAAAGTTATTACGATTTTTTGATTTTCAGAATAAAGGAAGGGAACAAAGATCTGTTGCTAATTTAACTTACACTTTTGATTTACACGCTTTTTATCTTACATAATAGCTTATATATACTTATATATCTTAGATAATGTATCTTAGATAGTAAGCAAGATTAAAATATTCACATGTACTTAACATAATATGTAATATAAAATGTATATTACAAGTTAAATTAGCAATAGTTCTTATTTCTCCCTGTTCATTCTTAAAAATAAAAAAATCGTAACAACTTTTATGAACTTCGTCATTTCTATATCAGTCCATCTTCCATTACTTGCGTAAAGCTGATATATAGCTGATTTGGAACCTGAACTCATAGTTTCGAGAACTGAAATCTTTCAAACCTAGAAAAAAAACTCTCATGGTGAGACTCCATATTGGATAACTGCTCACTTTAGCTTCCGCCTGTCTTCATGCAATAACGTTATAGGATGAGAGAAAGAGCTTTCAGTTAGTAACAGGATTATTTGCAAATCTATATCAACAGCCATAGAAAGTGCGCATGAAAACGCATAAATCCAAAAAAGCACTCTAAAACTGTGAAACTTATGCAACAGTCAGATATTCATATAGATAAAAAATAATCAATGATTTTCATTTATTACGAAATCAGTGTAACTTTCTTAAGAAAATGTTTAGAAAGCGTATTATAAATACAAATAATTTTAAACTATGCATGGGATTTTGGTTTCATCTGCATGACGC